CATTTTTCAGATGGATTTTAACCCGTTTGGGATACTATCCGCTCGTTCTCGTCCGTTCCGCACTGTTTGAGGCAGCCGATTTGATCCAACCTGATTATGAGCTGTTGGATCTAACTCAGGTCTGCTTCATTGAAATTACTGGACAACTTAGGTTAACACTGATGCCCCGGTTGTCTTTTCCTTCCGACTACGACTTCTGTAGGAGTTTCATTGAACTCAATTTTCAGCGAACTTTGTCAAAATTCAAAAATTTGAAGGTCCCCTACGCTCCACGCCTCATCATTCTCATGCTCTTCGCTCTGCTTGTTCTTCATATATTTTGGACCATCATCATTCTGAAAATTGTCGTAAAAACCATTACTCAAGGAGAAGCGGGTGACGTTCGCTCAGATTCTGAACTTTCGGACAAGGAGGATACTGAGAAGCTAATTAAGGTATAAAAATTGTCTGTTCAATCTTTGGCCGCATTTATCTTCTCATTATGGGTTTCGCCGTGCCGTCAACAGTGCGCATTAACAACCTAGGGTATGGATCAGAGATTGGTCCTCATTGCATTGAGTTTTTGTGTACCGAAGGCAACTACTTTTGAGTGGGAGAGTGCAGGGCCCTATTGCAGAAGTCTTGTGGATGAGATTTTCACCTACACTGTTGTCTAAAAGCTACTGAATATGCATGAAAGGTGGAGGTGGGTTAGGATTATGCTAGCAGCCCACACAGCGGCCATTGAGTCTCACGATTTGTTTCCCCTCCCACCATCTGTAGTACTAACTTTTCAAATAATATGTACTTCTGGGAAAATTCATGAGAGATGCTCATGAATTTTCACAAAGTTCACATGGATTGTATAATTCACAGCCATGCAAGAACAAGAAAACATAATCATCTAGCCAACTTCCCAGTTAGTTACTTTAGTAACGAAAAAGCATGTACAGACTATAATTTTTTCCCAATCCATGAACCAGACAGGTACTGAACGTCTCCTTGATTATGAATAGAACTCTGTTGAATCTGAACTCGAATTATGCTAAGGTTGCCGAACATGACGCTTTTTTTACGGTTTTCTTCAATTTTGTATTTATCAGTTAAATTTTTTTAGCAAAATGGAAAGAAAATGACGCACAAGCGAAGAGCGTCGAAAAAAAGTTCTGAAGAGGACGAGAGCGACAGTGAACGAGAACCTTTGGCTAACGGTCTCAAGTATAGACGCCCACGTAGAGAGTGATTCGTGGCTACTTTAAAGGTACATTACGCGATAGACAGGCAAAACTAGTGGGCCAACGGGTGAAAGTGGGGTTACAAAGTGGTCGGCAATCATCGAGAAAGCCTAAGGCGGTCGTCCAATCTTTTTTCAAAAGTGATATTCCTCCAATAGTGGTGGAGGAACGATTCCTCTGAAAAGATGGTGTATTCGCTCTCGACATTCTGGACTACAGTGGCAACGATCTAGCAGCTAGACGATTGTTCTACGTAGTTGCGCGGCTGTCCATCGAAAGGTCCACTGATAATCCTAGATCGCCTATCACCTAGGCCACTTTCCATCAAAGCAATGGCATCCCTATCACTCGGGATTTTTTTGTTACTCCCCTCTGAAAAGTTAGTCTATCGCGGAATGTGTGTTTAAAGAATCTCTTTATTTTGTATGCTCAATATTGTGCACGTTGTAATAATTTTTTATTAACTAACCTTGCATATCTTATACGTCATATCTTAATGATCGTTTTGGACTCGTTTTTCTCAGTTAATTTGTTTAGTGCGAGTAAATTTATTAATTTACAAGAGTAATAACATTTAAACATCTTGGTGTTAGGCTGTCCTCCACTGGAGTATTACATTGTAATTATTTATGTATTCATTGTTTTTATGGCTACAAGGTTAAGGCCGAATATCAAAGGTCTAGACTCTGTTCAAGTATATCTTCAGAGCCTTCCATGTTCACATAGATCCAAATCCATTTTCTTATCTACTGTACAGGTCGTCAAGAGAGTTTGTCAGTGTATTCTGTTGTAGAACCTCTGAGGACGAGTTTTAATCCCTTAGGTTGCAGAGAAAGATGCTCTCAACAGGAATAAGGACCCAATCCCTCAGGTTGCAGGAAAGGATGCTCTCAACAGGAATAAGGACTCATGAGCACTCAGTAATTATAGCTGTCACCTGTTGCTTGCGGAAATTTTTGACACGAAAGCTCGAAGAGGTCATTACTGCTTTTTCTTAAGTGGTAACAAATGATTTTTATTATATATTGGCATCCTTCCTGGGTCAGCTGTGACTTCTGTAGATACAGTAGCGCTCAAAAGTTTTTGGTGAAATGCTTTGACGCATTTTCGTTCATACCTTTTTTCTTAGTAGACCAAATCGCGTGAAATTTCGATATGTTCAACTAGAGCATATTTCACCCTACTCAACACTATTTGACTGCGAAGCTGCAATATCCACAGATAGAAAAAGCTGATTGTTGCGGTAACACATTATGCTAAAACTAAAGTTGTTGACGTCTGCACTTATCCGTACCTTATGTGCGTTTTCTCNCATCATCTGTATTTTCAGTCGATTTTGAGTTCAAGTTCTTCGGAATATTTGGAACATGAATAAAATGCAGGTTAATAGTGGTAAATATTCACAATACACCCGTGCTCCAAATATAGAAATTTCGCATGATTAGATCCAGTAGGAAAGGAGTTACAGCTGAAAAGCAGGGCTGAAGAACCATTTCACCGAAGACTTTTGAGCGCTACTGTAGATATACTCGTATATAAGCGGTTCATCACATTTGAAAAGAGAAAAACAAATTCTCTGACAACGGGACAAGTGAGAAGTCCTCCTCCCTGTTAGGCGACACGGTTGTTTCTCCTAATAACCGAGGCTTGTTCGTACCGGTGCAGTCGTAGTTATCGCTCTCCTGACGTCAGTCTTCCCAGGAACAATCCTCAACTGCTCCTACAACTATGGTCCACGTCATCCATACGTGGGCGTAACGTATTCTCCAAAGTAGCTATTCTCATTACTTGTACTCCATAGCGCGATTCGTTCACTAAGGAGCTACGATTTCTACATTGTTCTGCTCACAACTCGTGGTCATTGGTTACCAGAAGTTAAGTCCAAGGGTGAAGCTAAGCAAGGCTTCCCGAATCCTACAAATATGCCCATAATAATGGTATATAAAATCTGAAGGAGTTATATAGAAGGAAATATGTACTCCGGTAGAGAAAGGAAAGGTTATTGTCACGCTTAAAACATATACTTAAAGGCACCGTTCACGATAATTTAGGGTATCCGGTATTTCACAGATAGTGATGGGTAAGGCCTATATTAGGACAATGGTAAAGCATAAAACGCGAAAAACAGCGAAAAAAATATTAACGGACAAAAAAAAATAGAAAAAGGGGTTGGACGAGTTTCATAATGGAAAAACGGCGGCTAAGGGAATTTTCAGGCGAGTAGACGAATGCGACGTAATGTTTGCCATTGCACACAACACGCTCAAACGGCTGGTTTTGGCTTCTTCGTTAATATTATTTATTCTACTGACGATATTAAGATTCTGAGATTATTGTGCCTGATCCTTTTGATGACGGCTGAGAATAATTTACTAGAACGGAATAGAGCAGAACATTAGTCGAATAGTAGAAATACAGCCGAATACTTGTACCGGAGGGAGGCGGTCGACCCGCTGACCGTCTCTGGCAATTTGCCAACCAGCTTATCGATTTTTCACAACTTCGCTCTAATGCGAAAGTGGTGAACGGCAATTAGATTCCGTAGTCCGCTAGCGAGGGGCAGAGGGCGACCGTGGCTCACTTTCCGGCCCCTTATTGTGCCCTATCCAGACCATTTTCCGACCTCATTCCTGCACAATTGGTATCAGAGGGGGCGTCGAATACAAACCATGTGCAAATCTCCGAAACCATTTTTTCGTGCACTGTGCCTTTGAGAGAACCGCTTGAAGTGTTGCAGAAGTGAGGTATTAAGCCGACTAGGAACATGTTTCCCAGTGCTGGACAATCAGAATTGGTCTTCTTCAGGCTCTTCTCAAAATCTAACCCAATGTCAAAAATGGATCATTCAGCAAGATCTCACCAGTTTCATCGACAATGAGTACGATACTCTATCGATTACCATGGAATGATCAATACTCCATTGCATCCTTTGAGTGCCATTAGAATCGAGGACAACCGTGATCACTGCTTAATATTTTCCAATCACTCGGGCTCATTCCCGATGAGGTCCAAGCCGGCTCATTAGCGCCTACCCACTATCGATCAAATAACAGTCCATTAAATTAAGGCAACTGCCTTTGAATGATGAATGGATCAAATCAGTTTAATAAGGGAGACCGGGTGACAAGTGCCTCAGTAAGGATGAAACTTCTTACCGTAATCGACCGCTACTGCGTGGTACCAGTGAGTTTCACTAAACAATCTGCATTTTGCTTAGTAGTTGTGCAAAGCAACGTTGGAATGGTTGTAGGAATTTGGATCCATACTAGTCTTTGCCCTTTGAATCAGATGCCCTTTCTACTGTAAATAATTTTTGACAAGAACACAGTCTAACTCGGCCCACTAACACTGCTCCTTTTCTACCATGAAATCAATGGTCTCGATCTGTTTGTGTGGGAAATTACTTCATTCCATGAGTAATAGCATGCCAATTACGTTTACAGAAGCTGTACAGCACCCTCTAGTAACGACGGCAACAAGTCGCCTTCGTTGCCTGCGTTGCTAGGGCGTGTCGCCGTCGTTGACTGCTTCAGGTGTTTCCTTGTTGGCGGCGGCGTTTGCGATGGCCGAAAGCGTTCGCGTCATCGCCAGATGTCGCCCTCTCAACGATCGCGAAAAAGGGCTCAATTCAAAGGTGAGTCACGCTTCGAAGCGTCTTGAAGTCGTTCGTTGTCGGTCTTTGGTTTTTAAATTCCATAAACCTCTTGAATTACGCTTGAGGTTCTTTACGGCTTTGGGCCACCACGAGCAGGTCGTTGCGAAATCACGTTGGGAGCTTTCTTTGAAAGCTTCCCAGACTAACGTACTTTTCCGATTTTTGTAACTGTACCTCTTTTGAGAGCAGTAGATTATATTGTATGACACCTGAATTCCAGAGAACTGGAAATAGCCGCATCTTTCAAGAAAAACTGATACGATTTAATGAAGTCCCAGCTAACTTGAGTAAGCTTCATCAATCTTCCCATCTCATATCTTTCTCATGGTTACCTTTGCCTTATTCTTTGCTTATATCTTAAATTGTGTAACACTGTGTCAACTAATCAGCTGACTACAAAATAACGTAGAAGTAAGATATGTATGTAATGAGATCCTGCTTCAGTAGGCAGTTTCAAATGAGAAAAGCTAAAAACTTCAAACCCATTTGAGTTAGAATTCAGCTGAAAGTAAGGTTTTGTATGAATTGGCTACAGAGAACGTTTAGAGTTACAAGACCGGGGTGTGAAATTCAAAAAAAACTACGGTGGTTGCTTCATAATATGACATTAATACAAATTTCGCTAGCAGTTCAGCTGGTGACCGAGCTTTATATCGAGTGAAAGGAAAATCGTTGAGATTTGTTGGAACTCACATTTGGGCATTGATCTAGAATAAAGCATGAAGGATAAAGTCTTCGGGTAACCACCAATCCCAACCTGAGGAAAGGCCTCCGCTTCCGACTTCTAAGAATTGTAGCGGCGTTTTGAATGCGTTTAGAGCCCAATGACTTGCGATAGCCAGCCGATGCCAAGTCAACGCTTTCTCCTCGATCTGGTACCAACTTAAGGACCCTTGAGGGAAAGAAGGCTTTGTCGGCCTAGACGGTCGAATCCGCGACTATGCTTGAATTGTAGTTCGCCGCTTACCATCGCACTACCTCCGCCTTCTGGACATAGATTTAATAATCAAGAATCAATATTGGCTGAATATTTGTCTGAATTTTACTTTTAAACCTTTCGTTTTCATGTTCGCTTCGTAGCAGAGTGATCCTTATTATTATCCGACTTCTTACTCCCGTTCCACCCTGCTGTTCCTATACTTAACCAGTAATTGCTCTGTAATTTCATCAAACACCTCGTGATATTGGAGATAGACTCTCATCAAGGGCTTCAATTGGTTAGTTGCATCGTTTGACTGGGAATTCATCTTTGGTCTAGAAGCGATGGTGATTAACGAAAAGGGTTATGGAAAACGCCTGAGTGCCATAAACCACTTGAATTCCTTTTGAAAAATGGTAGGCTACATTACGACC